TCACATCCTTGCTAGGATTATAGGCTAAGCCAGAAAGTCAGTGACAGTGAACGCCCCAGAAAAAAACAGTGCCAATCCATTTCTACACAGCCTCTGAGAAAACAACATACAAGCTTAGTTGAACTTGACTAGAAGAAGGAATTGAGTATATCTAGTTTAATGAAGAGAAGGACGAGGGGGGACATGATAGCAATGTTCCAATATCTCAGGGGCTGCCACAAAGAAGAGGGAGTCAAGCTATTCTCCAAAGCGCCTGAAGGCAGGACAAGAAGCAACGGATGGAAACTAATCAAGGAGAGGAGCAACCTAAAACTAAGGAGAAACTTCCTGACAGTTAGAACAATTAACCAGTGGAACAACCTGCCTCCAGAAGTGGTGAATGCTCCAACACTGGAAGTTTTTAAGAAGAGACTGGATAGCCATTTATCTAAAATGGTATAGGGCACAGGTTCAAACTTGCTGTGTCACGTGATGTGTCATGACATATCGTGAGTTTTTTTGCATTGCTGGAGCTGGGGTGGGCGTGGCCTCCATATGATGCAATCGACCCACGGGCTGGCAGTTTGACACCTCTAGTATAGGGTTTCCTGCCTGAACAGGGGGTTGGACTAGAAGACCTCCAAGGTCCCTTCCAACATCATCATCATCATCATCATCATCATCATCATCATCATCATCATCATCATCATCATCATCGCTTTAATTGTTCTTTACTCTGCTTTTGTGATCAGTAATGTTCATCTACTGAGTATTTTGATATACATTATTGCAACTGGACTGGCACTGATAGGGCCAAGCTTATGACACGCATGTCCTCTATCCATGTCAGTTTGTCAGAACTGGATCTGGAGCTGTTGGGAGTAATAGAGGTTTACAGTATTGTGACTTTCTGTTGTTGCTTTTGAGAATGTTAAGTTATGCTATGCATACACAATAATTTTTACCTTCTTACTGAATTAACTCATTTTCTGGATTCTCACAATAAACCGAATCATAAATTAATCAAATAGGTTGAGTTTGCATAATCCCCTAAGCCAGGGGTCCCCAACCTGTGGGCCACGGCCTGGTAGTGGGCAGTGGGCTGCAGGACAGGCTGACCAGTACATGCACGTGTGCGCACCCCCCCACTCACGCTAGTGCTGCGGCTGTGTGGTGCAAAAATGGGCCGCTTCCGTGCCTTTGGGCACAAAAACAGGACACCGCTCCTTGGGGTGCGAAAACGGGCTGATGCTGCACTGTGGGGCGTGAAAATGGGACACCGCTGTGCTGTGGGGCGCAAAAACGGGCCGCTGCCGTGCTGTGGGGTGCAAAAATGGGATGCTGCACTGTGCAAAAATGGGCCAAAGCTGTGCCTCGGGCACAGAAATGGTGCTGTGCACAAGAACACAAGCACTAGCCCTGCCCCATTTGCGTCATGCGCATGCTTGCGGCCCTGTGCTTTCCCCTCCCTTTCCCTCCGGTCTGCCAATCAAAAAAGGTTGGTGACCTCTGCCCTAAGCTACAAGAAACTGAATCCATAGTAATGTTATCTCAGCATAGCACGTTGTATGAAAGAATTTGCAATTTAACTGTCTTGATGTACATTTTGGTTACACAGGATGGTCAAAAGGCAAGAGGGGACTGATCAAAGATTTCCCCTTATATGTCTCACGAGGCACATAAAAAAGTAGAGTTTTGAATGCATAACATGGCCACCATCTGGATTTCTCTCTGTCTCTTTCTCACACACACGCACCCCTTGCAGATACTTCTGGGGGCATTTAACTAATCAGGAAAAAGTAGCTGGAAAATAGATTTGAACTGAAGTGAGGAATTGGACGGGAGAGTGCACTGCTAGAATTGCCCTTTACATAGTGATCAGGCATACATTTTGCATACATGCGCATATATATCATTGGCACTGCTATAACAGGGTTATCCTTAGGGTGTGAATAGACACCAAAGATGTTTGCCTTCTCTCTGTAACTGCCCTTACCCTGCCAAAAGGGTGAGAGGAGAGAGAGATCGCAGAAACCTTTGTGAATGGGGTTTGGGTAACACAGGGAAATATTTCCTCTCTCCTTCAGGCAAATGGAGAAAAAAAAATTATACTCATTGAATGGAGGAAGAAGGCCTACGTTCAATGAGGACTTCTTTCATTAGGAAAAGGTTTTTTATTTTATTTATTAATTAGATTTTTATCCCTCCTTTATTACTTTATAAGTAGCTCAAGGCGGTGAATGTACCTATTAATTGTTCCTCCTCCTGTTTTCCTAACAACAACCCTGTTAAGTGGACGGGCTGAGAAAGAGGGACTGGCCCAGTCACCCAGCTAGCTTTCCTGCCTTAGATGGGACTTGAACTCATGGTCTCCTGGTTTCTAGGCCAGCACCGTAACCACTACACCAAACTGGTTCTCTTTTCCCCTCCCACTGCACGCCAATGGATGAACACGCTCTATTGGATTGCGTACCAAAGACATCTACTCCTATTCTCTGCTTCCAAGCTTTCTCATAGACCAGGGCAGGTGTAGGCAACTTTGGCTCTTTTATGACTCGTGGACTTCAACTCCCAGAATTCCTGAGCCAGCCATGCTGGCTCAGGAATTCTAGGAGTTGAAGTCCACGAGTCATAAAAGAGCCAAGGTTGTCTACCCCTGTCATAGACCAAGAGTGGCTTTCGAGAAAAAGTGAAAAATATGTGGATTCCCCCCCCCCAAGTTGGTCAAAAATTGTTCCATAAACCTGTATGCTGTCACGTGACAATGAGAGCCTGCAAAAACCTTGAGCATCTCTGCCCCTTAAGTGACACTTCAAAAGTGCTTCCACATTCACAAGTGGCGTCCAAATGGCCTTGGACTATTAAGTGATTCGGGTTGCCCGAAGCTGCCCTTGAATGACAGCATGCTGAGAATCAGAAGGGTTGACACATTTAGCCTGCCAGATGGAACCCTATAAGGTGGTGAATTCCTCATTTTTCTTTTCTCTGTGCTTTTTCAGAGAAATGAAATGCTAGAAGATGCAGAGGATAGACATAAAATAAGAGCTTTGTGCAACAGTGTTATTGAGGGATAGGTATAATTATGAGATTCAGCAGGAAAACTGATTGCTTTGACCTGAAGTTAATGAGCTTATTTTAAACTCATTTCATAACACTATGCATGAAGAGTATCTTTTACTTAAACAGCTCTTACTGCTTCAAGCAACCAATCCTTTCCTCTAACTGGGGATGAGGAAGGGGATTACTACTCTGGATTTCAGGTGTAATGATCTAGTTCTAATCACAATGACATCACTTAACAAGGATATACAATCATAATTTGCCATTCAAGGAGCATGGGCTAATATCTAGCCTCAACTATTTAACCAAGATACCTGTCTTGGGTTGTTTATTTTGCAGAAGAGCAGAGCTGGGAATTCTGCCAGTTGTAACCCAGCACATCTGGAGGGCGCCAGACTTGGGAAAGCTGTATTATAAGAGTAAGCCTGTAATTTTATGCAAGTTCAGGAAAAGGTCAGCAAGGGTTCAGAGTTTAACTACCTTGAATGAAACTCAATTTCTTGCCTCATTTTTAAAGGCTATCCTTTCCATTACAAAAATACATTCTTCTGTGAACTTATAATAAACATTTGCAATTATAACCTTGCTTAGGTCTAAAGCCTTACCCATGAGCTAAAAATGGAGCATCGGTGTTATTGCATAAATATTGTGTGCATTAACCTTCCCTCCATAATTAAAATGGTTTCCATTAACCAAGAGCTTGGTTGTACAAGACAGAGTTAACTTGGTCACCTACATGAGTCCAGTGCCACAACTAGGGGACGTTTTCGAGTTTCCAAAGCTGGAATACCACTGTGCAAAGACTTTCAGCCACAATGATTCTGAGGGCAGGAAGGATCTAGAAAAGAGCATCAGAAAATGACCCAATTCTTGGCTGGGTTCACATGGAGCATGCTTGAAAGTCAGCTTGTTTGTTTGCTTGCTTATTGGCTTGCTTATTCATTGAGTGAATGAATTTATATAGCCAGGGGCTTAAAGATAGAATAAATGACTGAGCACAAATATAGGGAATTTGTGAACTTTAGAAAATACCAGAATCAAGCCAGTTTTAGAGTGGGGCTGTTTGGAGGCAGAATGTTAATTTTGGGAGCGTATGTCAATGAGTACAGGTAATCCTCGACTTGCGACTACAATTGAGTCCAAACTCTCTCTTGCTAAGTGAGACAGTTGTTAAGTGAATTTTGCCCCATTTTACAACCTGTCTTGCCACCGTTATTAAGTGACTCACTGCAGTTGTTAGTTTAGTAACACGATTGTTAAGTGAATCAGACTTACTCATTGACTTTGCTTGTCAGAAAGTTGCAGAAGTTGAACACATGACCCCAAGGCACTACAACTATCATAAAGATGAGTCAATTGACACATGGATTTGATCATGTGACCATGGGGATGCTGCATTGGTCGTAAGTGTGAAAAACGGTCATAAGTCACTTTTTTCAGTGCCGTTGTAACTTTGAATGATCACTAAATGAACGCTTGTAAGTCAAGGATTACCTGTATTCAGCCATTTGATAAGATGAAACAAGAGAAGGGAATAGTCACAGATCCATAAACACAATTGCCACTGGTTCTCACTTTATGTTAAGACCATTGTTAACCTCTTCTATGAAGTTATAATGAATAATCTTCTCATTAGAGACAAAGAATTATTGTTTTCCTCAGAACCTAAACATTTACCTTTGGTTTTCATACAGCATGTATTATCTAGATACGACAAAAACACACACCATGGGAACGTGTGAGTTGAGGAAAGAATAAACACCAAATACGCACCAATACCAAAATAGTATAAAGGGAAAACATGTTGCCTTTGGGACAGTAAGTAAAAAAAGCCAAACTAGAAACTATATTTTTTCAACAGAATCTAGTAACAATGGACTGGTTTATGTTTTTGCTATATGTGTATTCTTCCTGAACCTGTCATATACTGATATCAGTTTTCACTCTGGTTATTATTTCAGAACTGCTTAAGAAGAAGAGATGCTGGCTTATTAAACCAGTTACAAGAACTGGACAAACAGATCAGTGATTTGAGGCTGGATGTTGAAAAGACAACAGATGAACACCTTGACATGGATAGCCGTCCCAGTTCGGGTAAGCATCTTATGTAGCTAAGCTAGACTATGATAATCAACAGATTTTAGGTCTTGTAAAAGGGGGCACGCGGCATTCTGTGGGTGCCCAGGCGTCTAGGACATTCCTAAGCACGGTCCACAGAACTCCAGTATTAAATAAAAACTTCAGATGCCTTCCATCATGCATGGAAAAGGCAACGGCCAAGGAATTATATCCCACAGAGAACAGTTATGCTGTAAGGAACAAGTTGAGGAAGCTGCAGCCAAACTCTGCTTGATCAGATGACATGAATTATAGCTACAGAGTCTTAATTTAGGTCCAGTTATAGTTGGAAGTGTAGTTATTTATACAGAAACTGAAAGATGTCTATACTGTTTCAAATGAAGCCTCCCTTTACTTCTACTGGCCTTTATATCTGACAGCTATTGCTTCTAAAGTCTTATATTTCAGGATGTCTGCCAAAGAAAAAGTCAGTGGTAGCCACTATTCAGATGTAGCATTTGACATTTATTTACTAAAAGAAACGGGAGATTACTAGGTGCATTGTTTCATTAAGAGGTAGATGTGGGATCTAGTCTCAGATTTATCAAATTGCTACATTCTCTCTAGTCCATCTCATTTTCTTAAACAAACTCCCACTTTATTTGGAATGAGGCTTTAGATTCAGGAAGAGTATGCTAGATTATTCCCCTATTCCTTCCTCATGCTACTAACCACAAGCTGCTTTAATGGATTCTTTTGGTTTTTTTTAAATAGGGTTTTATGAGCTGAGTGATGGGGCTTCTGGATCTCTCTCCAACTCATCAAACTCTGTTTTCAGTGAATGTTTATCCAGTTGTCACTCCAGTACTTGCTTCTGCAGCTCTTTGGATGCATCTTTGAGTGGCTCTGATGGACGGCCCAAGTCTGCAGGTATAGCAAGAATTTCTAATACCCAGGCATGTTTAAGGTTACTTTCCTTCGTGGCGTATGCCAGGGAGCTCGTGCAACCCACCAGGTTAGCCACTGGGGCTATTCTGGGTCCTGATCAGCCTTGTCCTTGTTGTTCCTGGTCAATAGATCTGGGATAGAAGGCAAAGATAGCATTACTATACAGTATATGAGCTTCTACTGAGATGATGGCCGTTGGATAAATAGCACTGGATCTAATGATCCAACAGATCAGTTGCTATGTTCATACAACACACTAAACCAACAACATTTTGATCTATTGTATGAAGCCAGACACTGTAGCTTATGAACCATGGTTTAGAACAATATTTTCTGTGGGCCAATCATGGTTTACTCAGTAAATGATGATTGAACAAAATATGGCTCAGCCCTGATTGGTATAAGAGTAAAGGGGGGTTCACATCGACTATACCCTATTTCTTTATCCAACGTCGGTGTCCAACCATCGACTTCCTATCTCTCTTAATCCTGTACAGAAGTCGGGGTGGAAATATAGAAAAGAAAAATTTCACTTAATGTCGTTAAACCATCCCTTATAATATTCTTATTATACGTGCATTTTGATTTCGAGAAGTATTGTATTGTATTTGTATTTGCATTCTGTCTCAAATCTGTGGGCTAAGGGGGTCATCCTCAGCTTGGAACTCTTTATAAATAAGTTGAGATAGGAATTGCCAGTCCAGATTTTATAGAAAATAGTATTCTTAACTATTGCAGACATGTATTATGATTAATCCAAATGATGATAATTGCAATAGTGGAAGTTATTATTTCCACTTTCAACTCCAAATGTTATTCCTTACTTATTTCATCCCCACTTCATTGAATTTCAGATTTCATCAGCTGGCTGGAGCAAAACAAAGGAATCCAACAAAATGACCAAGCAGGGATGGCCTCCCCGTCAATGCCACAGTCAGATTCTTTCGACATTGTTGCAGATGTACACCCAAAATACCAGTGCGATCTGGTGTCTAAAAATGGAAACGATGTATACCGTTATCCCAGCCCTTTACATGCTGTTGCAGTGCAGAGCCCCATGTTTCTTCTGCCGGTGACCAGTTGTCCCCCAAGAGAAGAAGTCGAAAGAACCAGTGACAATGCTGTGGATGTTGAACCGGAACTCAGCTCAGAAAAAACAGTGGATTCTTGTCTTTCACATGCTTCTCGTTCTCCGTCCTGTCCTCTACCCAACAGGAAAATGGATGGATATATTTTAAGCCTTGTGCAAAAAAAGGCACCTTCAGTTAGGACCAATAAACCAAGAACGAATTTGAATGCAGACCTGGCCAAGGGGATTTTGAGACATGGAAGCTTGTGTCTTCGGCAGATGGCTAGTGCTGCGCCTAGCAACACCACTAACATCAAGAATCTCAATCAGCCACTTTCACATTCCAGTGGAACCACTCTTGCTCTAGATAGCATTGCCTTTTCTCCCATAAAGCAGAATTCAAGGGAAGTAGAGCATATGGAGTTAAAAAAGATACCTGCGCCTGCTGTTTTCCCGCCAAATGCTAATAATGATCAAAGCAAGGCCCCAGTGAAGAATGTCAAAACTCAAGAAGTGATGCGATCCCCTGTGACTAAGAGTGATGCTCCCAAGGAAAGTGGTCAACTCTTTTTGATATGTCCTAAAGAAAGCCCAGGACAGCACGTAACACCCTTGAAAGAAAAGAAAGCTGTCCAGCTTCCCAAAAAGCTGTCATTTAAGAGTAGTGGGATGCAGTCATCTTGCTTTGTTTTGTCAGGTCAGGAGAGCAGACCGTTGGTGGAATTTAAGAGTGAGGGCTCATCATCTCAGAGTCTGGAGGAGGGATTGCTAGTGAATGCCCAGTTCATACCTGCTCAGCCACAAACAGTCAGACTTCACAAAGGCACCAGGAGTGTCAAAATTCTCAAAGGTTCTATGGTGAAACACAAATCTCATCTTGTCACAGTGCTGGAAAATGGACCTCAGACTGGACGGGAGAAGGCCAAACCTGTGGGCAAAAAGTGTCACTTCCTGGATGAATTGGATACAAATAAGAAGCCAAGAAAGACCACTTTGAGAGGGAAGAAAGGTCTCCATCTGCAGCCAGATGCCAACCATCTGAGTCGTCAGCCAGGCGTACTCAAGTCTGTGTTGAGGTCCCATGGACATAGCAGAGAACCAGTAGTTGCCAAGCCCAAGCACAAGAGAGCTGATTATCGGCACTGGAAACTCTCTGCAGAGGTATCTTATGAAGATGCCCTTAGGCGGGCCAGGAGGAACAGGAGAGAAGCTGGAGGAGTCTATTCACAGGTTCCGCATCCTTATATTAGCCCCTATGCCTATGTTGCTAGTGACTCAGAATATTCAGCTGAATGTGAATCCCTCTTCCACTCCACTGTAGTGGACACCAGCGAGGATGAAAGGAGCAACTATACCACCAACTGCTTTGGGGACAGCGAGTCCAGCTTAAGTGGAGTGGAGTTTGTTGGTGAAAGTACAACCACCAGTGACTCTGAGGAAAGCGGGGGCCTCCTCTGGTCCCAGTTTGTTCAGACACTTCCCATCCAGGCAGTGGCTGCTGCTTCGGAGCTCCATGAAAATGCAGCCAAAGCCTTTGTTAAGATTAAAGCATCCCATAACCTTAAGAAGAAAATCCTTCGTTTTCGGTCTGGCTCTCTCAAACTGATGACTACTGTCTAAATGCATATAAAAAACAAATGATAGCAGCAATGATAATATCTCTGCCTATTGGCGAGACGCATATATGTAAGGGAAGTGAGTGTCAGGATTCTGGCGGGTCTTGGGGACATTTTTCCAGGACTTGGGAGCTGTGCAGCTATGCTGACTCCAAGAGGGCCCTGTCATCAGAACTGCCTGCGTTAACATCTCGAAGAGCAGAGCAAGCAACCTTTCTGTGACAGAGTGCACATGTTTGTGTATGTCTACTTTTTGGGCTGAGGACTATAGAGAGATCAAGCAAGTGAGGGAGAGCATGTCTTGCAAGGTGATAATGTTGTGCCTGGTCAAGGTTTCCACATCTTTTCCAGCTTCAGAGGTTGGATAACCACTCTAAGGTTATACAAGGTGAAGGAATGACAACATTTTGGAGACAGGGCTAAACGTGGGAAGCTTGTTTGGGGGAGAATTTAAGAGTTTGGGGGGAATTTTAAGAGGTAAAATCTTGCAGAGATTTAAGTCATCTATTTTAGACTTTGAAACCTCCAAAAAAGGGAAAGCTGATCTTAAAAATCCTCCAAACAATACCATAGAATGAAAGTTTCTGTTTAGTTCATTTTAGGGGAATCTGGGGGCAACATATAGACTGTTGGGGCACTCCAGATGAGTCAACTTCTGATTTAAACTTTGAAACAAACCCTTATAATAACAGAATATTGGGCAAATTTTATCTCCTTCTTCTGATGCACCATTTTTATCATGACAAGGGCTTGCTTTGGAGAAGGAGAGACTCACCTCTTTTAAGTTTTCAGACTTCCCATTCTCACTTGCCTTAAGCAATCAGGCAAGTGGCTACTTACAAGACTTGGCGTAAGCAGAGAACAGAAAGAAGAATCTATGGCAGCCTTTTCTAACCTGATACTTTCCAGTGTGGGGACTGCGATTCCCAGAATTCACAGCCACCAGGAAAGACAGCAATTCAGTCCATTAGAAAAGGTTGCCCTATATAGACCTTTTTTTTGATCGCTCTGGTGCTGCTGCTTTTGGTAATCTGCCAAAAATGTCTTATGAAGATATGACCGACACACATCTGCCTACATAAACAAAACAAGGTGCTTCTTGTAAATAATTTTTCTAGAATGCTTTTTTTAAGGCAGGTATTTAAGTCTTAATGGACTGCTTAGTTAATGTCACCTGAACCTCCATATTTTTAAGTCAACACTAGTGCCTTTTAAGTGGTGAGAACAAAAGCCACCGTGCTAGTTTTCAAACAAAGAATTAAGACACCAGTTTACTGCTTGGGCTGATTGAGATGCAGAGAAATGGAAGACTTAATGACTAAATGTTGATTTAAAAACAGTGTTAGAAACATCAGTGTAAAAAGAGGGTTAAATGAAATGCAGGATACACATTTTTTAAATAAGCAAACTTGGTAAGGATTGTGTTGATTTATGCAGCATCACTGATTAACACAGAAAGTCTCTGCTTCAGATAATCTGCATCATCACAGACTTTTTATATTTAGAAAAAAAAAGCATTTTCAAGATTTTGCCTGACGCCTCCTTATACGCAAATTAGATTAGTTATTCATGTTGTTCAGCATTGTCTATTCTGAATTAATACTACCTTCAGAGTCTTGAGCAGAGGTTTTTCCCCATTACTTCCTCCTGGATGATTTTTAAATGTAGAGGCAGGGATTGGACTGCCTTCAAAAGGAAGAACCTCAGCACTGAGCCATAACCACCTAAAGCTGCCTTGAATTTAGATCATGATCCATCTAGCCCACTGCTCTGTGATTTTCCCAGTGTTACCTTCTAAGATCCGTAAGAGGTTGGGGATTTGGGGCAGTTGCTCTACCTCTTGAATTACTGTATCCATCTCTTACCAACGTGCACAAATTATTGAATACTAAATTGGATTAGGAGGCGGCAACCCAAAGAGTGAGATAAGGGAAGAAAATGACATAAACTTCAAAATCCTCTAGGACGTGGAAGCCACGCCCACCCCATTGCTGGCAATGGCAAAACTGTACCGATATGTTGTGCGACATCACGTGACGTCGCGAGTTTGACATGTCTGCTCTAGGATTTAGATGTGTTGGGAAGATCTGCCTTCTGCCATTTAAGCTTCCTTTATTAATCTTGTAGAAGGTCAAGCATAATAAGCATCTTTAAGGAAGGAACCTGAAAAACAGGTAGTCCTTGACTTACGACGACAACTGAGCCCAAAATTTCTGGGTTACTAAGTGAGACATTTGTTAAGTGAGTTTTGCCCCATTTTACAACTTTTCTTGCCACAGTTGTTATGTGAATCACTGCAGGTATTAAGTTAGTATCACGGTTAAGTGAATCTGGCTTCCCCATTGACTTTGCTTGTCAGAAGGTCGCAAAAGGTAATGACATAACCCTGCAACCGTCGTAAATACAAGCCAATTGACCACGGGGATACTGCAATAGTCATTAAGTGAAAAACGGTCACAAGTCACTTTTTTGGTGCTGTTATAACTTTGAACGGTCATTAAATGAACTGTTGTAAGGTGTACACCTTATTTTGCATTGTTGATGGGAATTCTAACAACTGATAGAAAGAGAATCACGGGCAGATTGCACTCTTCCATCCCCTAATTTCATCTACTGATTACTTTGGGTTGAAACTACTTTGCGATCATAAGAACATTTCCTGTACATTTTTAATTTTAAAAATAAGTTCTAACATTCACAACCAAGTTTTAAAACCTGAAAAAATGTTCAAAATGAAATGCCCGCCCCAAAGGACCACTGAATCAGAATATTGGTAACTTCTTGAAGTTTAACAACATTTCTGAATTTTGAGTTCATTGATTCCAATTGTAGCCATGTTCAAGTGCTTGAACTTCTAAAATTGAGACTTTTTTTAAAAAAATATGCAAATTTTGCCAAATATCAAGTTCTCAGATGCTATTTATATGCCAAGTTTTCATACTCTATCACTGGATATGTTAAAATGTCAAAGAAATGTGTTCTGTATTTTGTATTGTTTTGTAGTTCTGTACGTAAGTGAGGATTTTAAAACAATACTTCAAATTAAAGTAAATGTTGCAAGTGGAGGGATGGTTGAAGCAGGTAGTTTAGGGATATTTTTCCTTGGTATGCTTTGTCTTGAACCAAGCTAGAGACTTGAGACAAAAGTGCTTTTAGGGCTGACGTTTCTAAAGAAGATATAAACCCTGAACCTTTAGATGCCTGATTCCCTGATAAATTATTATAATTAAACTGTGAGAATAAAAGTGAATAGCAATATATAGCCCAACAATTTCACTTCTGAAAACCTTGTAGATCTTGCTAATTCTTTTTTCCTCCTTTAAGAATTCTTTGTTTAAGAATAAAGACTTAAAATAAATAAAGACAATGCTAGGAGTCGGTGCTTAGTTTTGCAGGAATTCAGTTTCTGATTTATTTTTAATTGAAAAAAACATCTTAAAATAAGCTGGGGCAAAGAGGCTGGATGATAAACCTAAAAACAGCTTCTTCTATCTTGAATATATGTACTGAGATCAAGAGGGGATTTTTTCTGCACATCCCATTCAGTTACTGTTTAGTTCCATTCCATTTCCCTTCTAATGTTATAAGTATTTTGCTGGTCTGAACTAAAGGTTTATCTATTCTAACATCCTGTTTCCCACAGAAACCCACCTGATAATTCTGGAAAGCTTACTAGAATAAAAGTGGGATTCTCCCATGTTTCTCCAGCAAGTGAAACTGAAAGGCCAGCTTACTCTGACTTGGAGATAGAGATAGACTTCATGACAGATAGCTGTTGATAGCTTTGTCTATGACAAATTTGCCCAGTATCTTTGTAAAACCAATCCCATTTCATTTGATTATGATACACTTATTTTTGTTTTTCCTGAATTTCCCATTTTTCAGTTTCTCTGGAAGATTCCAGTATTTTAATTTTAGATGTCTCTCTTTTCTCATATGAGTTTTCTAAGCTACAAATCCCAACTCTTAAAACTTTTCTTTGTATGGGAGCTCTTCCCACCCCTGGATCATTTTGGTGGCCTTCACTGCACCATTTGCAGCTCACGAATATCTTTTTTTGAGGTGCAATAACCGGAATTCAGTATCCTAAGTGTACAGTACAATTGCAGTTGTCTGACACTACTTTCTTTTATACTTTGGGGGAAAATCCAAAAAGTCTCTTCAAGTATATTGTGTATTTTTTTTCCTTACAGTTTACACAAATATGCATGTTAAAAGCATGAGTGTCAGTTGTGTCAGTTTTTCTGTTGTGTCCAATAATTGTACATCATTAAGCAGCTGTATTTTATATCTCTATATAAATCATATTGCTTTATAAATTAATATAATGCATTGATATGCTGTAATAAACATTTCCTTTTTTAATCCCTTGTCATCTGTGATGCATTGATTGTAACTGATATGGACAACATTTGTGGCCCCTTTTGAAAAATTAGACTCTAACGGCCAAAATATGTTTTGCTAATTCTTGTCATACTGAGAGTTATTACTTCCTTTGAAAAACAAAATAACCTATATTCTGCTAGAAACTGCATGATGGGTGACTGAAGAAATCACTCACATTTGTCCATTTCCAATTTTTGTAGTCAAAGCTTGGCACTACCTTTGAGATGTTCCTGTCCACATCACAAAGAAACAGGATCTATCTGCCAATAGCAAAAAAACCAAACCAAAAAACCCCAGCTGTTGCAGCATTCTTCCAAGCAGTTTTGTGTGAGATGTGCGGATCTTCACTGTTCTTTAATTGTATTGGATACAATTTAGAGAAGGAATGCTCTCTAAGGAGCCAGAATGCACTGGAGAAAAGGCCAAGGAGAAGTTGCTTTATTTGCAAGCAGATGGCAAAGCTGATGTCCATAGAAAAGACTATTTTTGAAATGATTGGTAAATGTTTTCACAGCTTCTTTGGTTTGAAAGCCTTGCCCATCAACAAAACACATACGGTATTCAAAAAAGAATTAATAATAGCACAGAACACAACAACATCAATTAAAGTGTACATAA